GGAGGCAGGGACGAGGTGTAGAGTGCAGGGAGAAAGCCCGGGAGGAGGCCTAGGAAGCAGGAATAGGCCCGGGACACAGGGACGGGGTAACAGGTAGACACTAGCCACAGGACGAGGCTCAGGGAGAAGGCCCGGGAGGCAGAAGCAGGCCCGAGACAGGGCAACAGGCAGGCACTAGCCCCAGGATAAGGCTCAGGGTACAGGGAGAAGGCCCAGGAGGCAGGAGCAGGCCCGGGGCATGGCAAGAAGCAAGGAATAGCCTCAGGATGAGGCTCAGAACACACAGAGGAGGCCCGGGATGAGGCACAGGAGGAAGGAAACAGGCTCAGGGCAAGGCTTAAGGCACAGGGAGAAGGCTCAGGAGGCAATGCCAAGCCTAGGAAACAGGAACAGGCCCAGGACGAGGAGTAAGGGACAGGGACAAAGCCTGCGATGCAGTCTGGGGCACAGGGACAGCGAAAGAGTCAGGGACTAACCCTGGCACGAGGCTAGTACGCAGGTACAAGCCCCAGGACAAGGTTTAGCACACAGGGATGAGGCCTAGAATGAAGCCCTGGCAGCGGAGACAAGGCCTGGGACAAAGCTCAGCAGACAGGGACAAGACCCTGGATGAAGCTCAGAAGGCAGGGTAGTGGGGATTGGGCTGGGTACACTCAGCAGCTGCTCAGCTGAAGGGTTCTTCCTTGCTTCCAACAGTGCCCACAGCAAATGGAGAACAGTGCAGTGAGGTTTTTGGCTGTTTACACAAACATCTTCACTTACGTGGGGTCCTCAGTAAAGTCCTGTGTTAAGTGTGCATTTAATTGATTTCACAAGTTTGACTTGGGGTTGGTTTGGCTTTTTTTTTTTTTTTGTGTACCACAGCGTTGAAAGTGAGGCATTTGCTCAACCCAAACTGCACCTGGGAGCTTTGTGAGTGATTTAAGTACGGTTTTAACATACAAAATCATGGTGATTTGGCAGGAGAGCACTGTGTTCCCAGTTGGGAATATCAAGTATACATTATGTACTCTGTGAGCAGACTAAGGCTGGTGGCTGTTGTGGGTAATTCTTGCAGTGAAAATCCAAAAGTTACACCAGGCATTAATTTTTCCTTACATCATTTCCAAGCAAACAAAAATACCGTTCTTCTCTCATTTTGTTAGTGATGTAGATCATCAAAAGGCTGACTGGGTTAGTATCCACGAGCAAATATGCCAGCTGCTGATTCCAATCCGTACACCCCTCCCTTTTCTCCCTTCTGAAAAAGAAAGAAAACATGGCATGGAACAGCTGCTGAAGAGGCAGGTATGTACAAAAAACCCAAATGCCACTTCAAAGTGCTGCCAGTGAGATTTAATTCTTCCTACATTTTGATGTACATAGCACTGGGAGGGCACCTTGTTGGTTGATTGCTACTTAGTTGCAGAGCTTTAATTTTTTTTTTTTAAACAAAAACTGTTTAATAAGGGAAATGGGAGCATCCTCTCTCCGATTCTACGAGCCTTTTGCCTTTTTCGCAGCCCTTATTTGAAGTCCTGAGCTTCCTCAGGCAGTGGCAGTCCTGCATCTCCCACCTTGCCAGGTAGTTAGTCCATCTCCCTGGTTAGTCTGGCATCCACCTTTGCTTCTTACAGGGTGTCCTCACCCTGATGAGAGGGATTCCCCTTTCTCCAAGCGGAGGTGCAGAGAAATAAAGTCCCCTCCCTTAGTTTACCTGGCCAATTTTATAACGCCCTTTCCCACTAAGTACGGTGTTTTATCTCTGCTTTTTGGCCTTGGTAGTGGTGCAGATGTGCAGGTCCTTTCCAGCCCGAGTGGTTTTCAACTCGTCTGTTTGTTTGTTTGTTTGTTTATGATGCGACAGGATCTACTTCTCTACAGTGTTGATAAAATAACCCACACAAATACATCTGCTACTTAACATGATCTTGCCCTAAAAATAAATTATCCTTCTGGCGTTGCGTAACTCCTGATCAGAGAATAGTTGGACAACAGAACAGCTGAAAGTGAGCTGGTAATGGTCAGACGGTGCCACCGAGCAGAACATCATTGATCTTACAGATTTTACAGCACATATTATGTCTAAAGTTGTTTCTGGGCCAGGTGGTGGGCTTGTTGGTGAGGTCTTCATGGGAGCACCCAGAAAGTCCAAAAGGGGTGGAACCTATGTAGACCCAAGTCCTGCTTGGTGAAAACTCACGGCAGGCTCTAGGCAGGAGATTCCTTTGGGCTTTGTAGGAATTAGGCACTGACAACCCCGTTTGGCTTTGACAGTCCCATCTGTTTGAAGATCACAGGCAAGACTGTTGAGCAAAGTCCAGAGGAGGTGTGTTAGAACAGTACGTCCCAGAAGCGTCAGGAAAAATGCAAAAGCTCCTTTGTTCCAGGTTACGTTTAAGCTGATCTTTTACAAAGTCTGCAAAGAAAACAAAGGTTAGAATCGGTCTTATTGAGGGTGGTGGCACGGTTTTCACATCCTGACCTGCTTAAAGCTTTCCCAAGAAACTTCACCTGCATGTTGAACACTGATGTTGGAGGCATCTGTGATTACATCACTGGATTTATAGCAGCTGAAATGCTGCATACATTACAAAAGGCCACGTGACTGCCAGATCAAGGAAGTACTTCATGATTAGCTGGAAGCTAATCATGTCTTTTTTATTAGGTTCCAGGGGAAGACAGCAGGAAGATGGGGCTGGTGGAGAAGGGAGAGTCACTCCTCTTGATTGGAGTGCACACCTAGGTTATCAGACGGCAACTGCAGACCTGCAGCCTGAGCCCAGGCTTGGAATGACTTCATGGGAAAAGGCACAGAGAGCAGACTCTGATTTTCTTTCTAAGTAGAGGTTTTTGTAGGATCTTTAACAACCCTATCGCATTTGTTCTTTAACCTTTGTCTCCAGACTATTTAAATCAAATAGATTCTGGGAAGGGCATGTGCAGGTTTGCTTTGTCTTCCTTCTTTCCTAAGAAACATCTTGTTGATCACCTGCTTGCTTTCACAGCAAGACTGCAGCTTCCAGCCAACACATGAAGTCTGCCTTTGTGTACAGCAAGCTATAGGGTCAACAGCATTGGGCCCAGATTGGCTGAAAAGCATTGGAAATTATCTAATGCCCCGTCTTCCTGGCTTTCATCATGTTCCTATTTACAGAGCCAACAAAAAGGCTTTAAAGATGGCCTTTGGAGCTCAGGGAAAAGCTACCTGGTCTCATGACAATAAGAGAAAATACCTTCTGCTCAAAACCTGCCCATAGGTTTGTTATTTTTTGAAGATTTCTGTTGTACTTTAAACTCCTGCACGGTGTTTGTTTAGAAAACAGACAGCTCAGGCCTCAGCCAGGACGCAGGAAAGCTTGTGCACATGAAGATGCCCTCTGGCTTAAGGGAAGGTGTGTGAAGCCGAGAGCCAGGAGGTTGTTTCTACCTGGTCTGTACACCAAAGCGTTGTTGATAGAAATCTGCTTTTGTCAACACAGCCTGGGGGGTGCCTGCAGACGGTGCCTCCAAACTGACAAACCTCCAAGTTTCTGTTTGTAGAGTAGCCTCACCTGCCTGTGTGATGTCAGCTTACCGCAGCCCCTGGCTACGGGAGAAGATCCATGGCTCAGCCAGCTACAGCAGTCCTCCGGCAGCAACGCTAGCCCTGCCGACTGCAGATTTCAACTCGAGCTGACTGGAAGCCTGCTTCCTCTTTAAAATCATCATTTCTTCATCTTCGTTTTTGATGCCTGTGAGGGAATAAATGAATGTGGCGCCGAACCACAAGTATGTGTCCCACCTGGAGCAGAGCTGGGGTCCTCAGCCTCCTCAAACCCCAACTGGGGGAAAACTGCGTGGGGGCATCTTCAGAGAAACCTCTGTAATTGCCACAGAGATGAAAAGAGCTCAAAGCGGGCAGGTCTGGGGGCGTGGGGCTACAGGCAAGATGAAAACCAGGGCAGAGCCAAAGCTAACGATCCCCCCGAGGCTTGTAACTGCACAGTCTTAAATATTCGGTGCTGCAGGGCCTGTGTTGTCTCCTGCCCTTTCTTCTTCTCCTGGGAGCCATGCAAGAGTCTAACCCTTAGCTTCTCCTCGCTGCAGATGTTTTAAGATAGCTTCCATCGTGGGAAGCAGCAGTGATCCTATTGACAAGGAGTAAAAGACTGATCCTGATCTCCAGCGCCTCCCCAGATGACAGTCTGCTTGATACCCACGCGCCAAAGCTGGTGCCAGTTGCGACAGAGTGGCATCCTGACAAATAACAAAAGCTTTTATTGCTCCTTGCCCTGAGCATGTGCTGACTTTCTCCTGGGCACCACACGCTGCCCTGACATGGCTTGGTTTTGGCGTGTGCCTTTTCACTCCGTGTGCTGGTGGCTCTGGGGCTAGAGAGTCGATGATCGTGTTTTCTAGCTCTTGGCTCTCCTTGCTGTAGCCCCCCAGTTCTGTCACTCTGGGGTGTGTTCTTTGAAGCTTTCATTCATCCAGAAAAAAGTCCTTTATCTCAGCCAGGATCTCCAGGAAAGACTCGCAGGCTGTCCTCAAGGTTCCCTATCCCTGAGCTGTTCCTTCGCCCGAGGCACAACTCTGCCTCTCTCAAAGCTCAGCAAAATGCCAAATCCTGGCCTCAAAAGCACTGGGATTTGGTTTTTTCTGCCCTCCACTCAGCCACAGCTGTAAAGCAGAAGCAGCAGAGAGGTGAAACGTTATTTTCTGACGGCGCTCGCTGCACGGGCCTGCCCATACCTCCAAGCAAGGGGAGAGCGAGCGCTGGCTGACTTGCCGTGGCAGCACGGCTAGGCACACTAGGTTTCTTTCCAGGCAGCTTTCCTGCTGCACCACTTGTGTGAAAGTCTTGGGAGTTGGCAACAGTTATGCTGAAAGCAAAGAGAAACAGATAAATACCCATCCTGGCTCTTTTTCCCTGGCGTCCCTCAGCACGTTGCAGGGGCACAACATCCACGGTTGCCGTAGAGCCCCTGGCAATGCGCGGGACTCAAACGGAGACACGTTTGTGGAGCTGGTGAACAGGTCGGATGCTGCAAAGGCTGAAAAGACCAAATTGCGGCGTGGACTGCTGGAAGCACTGAAAGTCAGGAAGCAGTTGTACGTACGGGAAACATTATGGATTCTGACAACAAGCAGAAATCCTGCAGAAGCTGCTGGACCACCAAACCCGACTATATGGGAGTATAAGCGCATTATACTGTGTTCTAATTTTGACCGGCCTTCTAGACCCCGTGCCCAAAATACCAGGCCCAGAACTGGCCGGGAGAGGGTGGGAGGAAGCTGCAGCACCGTGTGAGCAGCTCTCCCCTCGCTTCCAGACTGCGTCTCCTGCAGCTGGAGTTGTGCCATGCTGGCACCAGCGTGGCAAAGCATACGCTCCGCTGCCTGCTGTGAGTCACTATTATTACCGTCAGCAAAACCCCGACATAGCTCCTTTGTCTAATCTTTTCTATGGTCTTGTGATGATCGTTTTCTGTGCTTCACAGCTTTTATTGCTGCAGCCTTATTAGTCCTTTTTCACAGGCGTAAAGGATTCTTCCTCTCATAAGACACCACATGACCGAAGATGATGTCCAAAGCTGTTCTGGTAGAAGTAGGCGTGAAAGCCAGGCTCTGAGATGACAGCTTTAATTTCCATCGATTAATTACAGCCACAAACATTACAATCACCAGTTTACAGTCTGAAAACTGGAATGTAACAAGAGACTGTGTGGTTTATTTCTCCTTATCCTCTGCTCACTCTGTCCCATTACTGTGTTCCCCTGCAGAAATACATCATCAAGCTCGCGTACAGCGCAGCCCAGGAGTTCATTTTGGGTAAAAAACATAAAGAAGCGATACCTGCAGCTTTGCATGCACTGCGTTTCAGCACCGACGTGTACGGTTCCAATTCCGTGCACTTGGTGCCTGCTTATCTCCTCTTGGCTGAGGCCTCCATGGGTAAGTATTGTCTAAATAGTAACATTGGCAAGGGCAAGACCTCCCTTGGGTCAGGTTTCTGGTTTCCTTTTACCATTTATCAGGGAAGGACCAGCTCTGTGTTTCAACATTGTGGCGTGTCTCTGCCCTGCTTCAAGGGCATTTCAGCGAGATTTGAGAAGTCACACACACACCCCCTTTTCTGTGTGGGTCTGGGGAAAAGAATCACTCGTCGGTGATGAGAGATCAATGAAAGCAAATGAAGTGTTTGCTCCGTCTCCCAAGAGACCGATTCCCCCAAGAGGAGCAGTATCAAAATCTATTCTTCACCTCTGTGGCTTCGTATGATTCTCAAAAGCTTTACATTCCCGAGGGTGGTTGGCTGTGCTCTTATCTCCGGGAAGCAGCAAACATTTCTGAGGCCACTGGATGGGGGGAATGCCTCGGTTCATTCACAAAAGCACGCTCTGCCTGAAGTGGAGCTTTTTCTCGTGGACTGTGTGCTTTATAGAAAATGTCAAGTTGGGACTCCGCAGCTGGAGAGCTGTTCACCTCAGCTGCAGACGTAAGGGACTGAGAAAACACTGTAAATCATCGCTGTTGCGGGAGTACACGCAGTGCTCTGCTGGCAGAGTTGAGCTGTCTCAAGGATTGTCGTAAATGGTGCTGCGAGAGAAGGGAAAAAAACCCTCATGAGTAATTCTAGCGTGATAATACATGACTCATTAGTGGCTGCCTGTAGCTAACCTGTTTTGAACACGTGTTTGAGAGATATGGAATGCAATACATGGTTTCTGGCTTCTCTCGCAGCTCTAGCCTGTCCGTAAATTCGATTTTGAACACCTGCTGACCTAAGGAACACTCGGGAGAGAAGTGGGGGATCCACAAACGAGGTCTCCCTATCAAACGACTGCAAGGATTAATGGGCAGCAGTCTCTAAATTTCTAACTTACAGAATGTGCTTCATCCCACTTCTTCCTACATGTTGTTTCAGGTATTGGCCACCTTCCACAGGCATCCAAGTATCTCTCCCAAGCCCAGTGGATTGTCCTTAGAACTCCAGACTGCAGTGTTGCTCTTCAGTGTGAATTACATCGTGGTCTGGGGCTTTTCTGTGCTGCCAAAGGAAACTTTGAAGAGGCTTTATATCACCTGGCGCATGATGTAAGCCAACTCAAATAAAGAAACACTTCCATTTTCCTTCCTTCTCTAACACTTGCAGGTTGATATGAAAACCCCGGCAGGCAGATCTGTAATCCTGATTTTAGCGGGTACACGTTACAAACTCTTGAAGTGAGTGGATCCAGGACACCCATGTATCTATGTGTTAGCCAAAGTCGTGTTTTACTAGTTATCCTTATTCCCTTGAAGTGACACATCCCTTGTCTTCACTGCATCTGCTTATAAGTTTATCTCTCAGCTTTGTTTACGGTACAGAGATGACCAGACATTCCTACCCCACACTGCTACAGTTGCCCTTTATTCAACGGATAAGTTTTGGTTGTCCCTTTCCTCAATACTTTTCTTTTAGGCAGCAGCTCTCTGTCTGTCGTTCATTAACAAACGCCTCACTTAACTATTGAAATGTTTGCTGCCACGGCGTTTTCCCCAGTACAGTCTTTATAGCCCCGAGAGCACTTTGTCACCTTTGAAGGGGTTATTGCCAGCTGTGCTCCTGAGGATGCTTTGCCTGTCATTTGATCCCCCAAAGGCAGATGAACTCTGCAACATCCTATTTATGTCCCATGTAGACTAAATTTATCCACCGCCGAGTGATGTATACCCACTACTGTTGAACTTGATAGGAGCTTTGTGTGGGCATAAATGATGACATACCGATGAGGAGAATGAGATCCTTTTTATTATAATACAGGCGACCCTGTCTTTGCTTAGTCTGTAAGCCTTTTGTGAGAGATTCCCGCTGTGCCATTGTTTTTTTTAGGTACCCTAAATCCAGTGCCTGAAAGGGCATCAGGTATTAGGGGTTTTTTTGCTATTAGCAAGCCGTCACAGCAGCCCAAGACCTGCCTGAACTTTGGCTGCGTGTCTGAGATCTGCTGAGAGTCACACGCCAGCTCAGAATAGCTGGAATGCACCAGTGCCTTCCCACTCCCCTGGCTTTGGCTGGGGCTTCGGGGGGAGAAACGGGTGCCGTGGGCAGGGCTGGAGAGCTGAGCAGTGGCAGCAGGTTGTGCGTTCGAAGGCGTGAGACATACAGGTTGCACAGGGAGAGGAGGAGAGGTGGGAAACCTGCTCCATGCATCAGTGGGTTCCTCTGCCCCAGAGAGCAGGGGAGTGGGGGGGCATTGCATTCCTTCATATAAAACCTAAAATACAGCTTTCTTAGCTCCATGTTTTACAGTTATAATCAGGTCTATCTAACGCTGTAGTCACACATAAAAATAAGGAATGCTTGCAGTATTATTAATCCATAGGGAAAAACTTTCCCGGGTTCTACATGAACATTAAACTTTTGCTTTTTTTTTTTTAACATCAATTTCAGATTTACCTTGCTAGTTCTACGTTTGGACTAAAATCTCTTGAGACCTGTAGAGGGTACTTCCACATGGCTAATGTTTTCGTTCTCCAGAACAAAATGGACATAGCAAACTTGCTCTATGCTGAGGTTGGTAAAAGCCAAAGTCATGCTCTGTATATTCCGCAGGGGTGGGGTTTTGTGCTCTTTCCAAAGTTTTCCCTGTTTCTGACTGCTAATACAACGGTGACCATATCAGGCATCAGTGTTGCCTTTTAGGATCAAGCTCAGAAACCCTTTTCATACTTAATTATTTCTCTGAGTTAAAATCAGGAGAGAGAAATTCTGTACTCAGTTAAAAGTTGTTTTTCAAGTTGTCTTTAACTTGGGCAGCCAAACCTTGTTTAAAAACAGCTTTGCCACCTCGTACCCCATGCCAGAGGTTGAAGAGTCCCATGAGTAGAGAGGGTCACCAAGGAGTTTCCATGCCCAGGGAAGAGTTGCCGAGCAGCAGCAAGATACAAACGAGCCACAGATTTACGCTGAGAATCAATGGAAAGTCACACTGGTAAATGATCGTCGGAACGGGACGATCCAGCAAGGGGAGTAACAATTGTCTAATACCTGGAAAAGATGCACTTTTATTTGCTTAGCCTGATTTTCTGTGGAAACGAGGCTTTGACAGCTGTGCAATCTGCCTCCGTTCCCACACAAACTTCAACCAAATGTGCTTTTGGTTAACGACTTTGTTGGTTTTTTTTCAAGTTTGATGAAAAATTAGCAGTCAGATAGAGAAATGAGCTTCCAAGTAAGGCTGCCGGTGGGAGAAGAGCGGGCAGATCTCCACGTGAAACATCCAGCTTGGCAGCAGCCAGCTCACTAACCAGCAGGCACTTTGGTTATTGTGGGAGGGACATGCGTTGTGGGGCACATTGTTTATAGAACAGCTCGTTGCTAAATGCCGCGTGTTCATGCGAGTGAAATAATTCATTTGCTTCCTGATAGGTAACTGGCACCTGGCATGCCTTTCTCGTGAAGTCAGTCCAAGCGCAGGAGCCAGCTCTCAAGTCACGACCGGAAATGTCTCTGTCCACTGAGGACAAGGAAGTCGTCGGGGAGCGTATGAGTAAGCACCGCTATTGCACGGAACCGGGACTTTAAAGAATCCGTACATCCTACGGCTCCTACTTACAGCGCGGGGGTTTGCCTGGCATTTGGGTCAAGCAAATTTAATCGGAATCACGGGTATTTCTGATGTTTTCTCAGTGGATTGTGCTGGATGAGATGGACAAGGCCACTTTAGGAATGAGGGTGTTCAAGTGGAAACACGGCTTTGCCTGTGTTCCTTACGTGCTCCTTTTCGCAGCACCCTTGGCAGCGGCTGTAACAGCACGAGGTTCTGCCTTTCAGGATTCGATTCCACTTCAACATTCTCATTTCTCCTTTGTCTCTGTTTAATTAAGTGAAAGTGACATTTCGTCTCACTTAGGCGGGTTACGACTCTGCCTTCTGAAGCAGCAGGATGTGATGGGGTAGCATGCACTGGTAATTGGATGTATTAATCTGGAGAACACTCTCGGGAGAGAAGCTGAGGAATCTCTCACCAGGACATAAAGGTGCATAACGTGTTAGGAGATACGCTAGTGTGTGTGGTACTACCCTACGCTCCGCTCAAGTCCAGCTAGGCTCTGGTCCTCTTCTTTCTACCGTCTGTGCTAATAAAACTAGTGTCAGAGATGAAATACATTTCTGTAACTCATAGAATCACAGACTGGTTTGGGTTGGAAGGGACCTTAAAGCCCATCCAGTTCCAACCTCCCTGCCATGGGCAGGGCCACCTTCCACTAGACCAGGTTGCTCCAAGCCTCATCCAGCCTGGCCTTGGACACTTCCAGGGATGGGGCATCCACAGCTTCTCTGGGCAACCTGTCCCAGTGCCTCTCCACCCTCTGCAGGAAGAATTTCTTCCTGATACCTAATCTAAACCTCCCCACTTTCAGTTTAAACCCGTTACCCCTTGTCCTGTCACTACAGGCCCTTGTCAAAAGTCCCCCCCAGCTTCCTTGTAGCCCCCCTTCAGGCACTGGAAGGTGCTATAAGGTCTCCCCGGAGCTTCTCTTCTCCAGGCTGAACAAGCCCAACTCTCTCAGCCTTTCATCGTAGGAGAGGTGCATCCCAACTCAGGATGCATCCCAACTCACTTTACCTGGCATTGTCTCCATCCAGCAGGAACCACACCAAGACAGGGCCACGCGATACCATCTTCAGTTATGACAGGAGCATGAAAGTTGCTCTTTTCATGCAGCTGTTATGACTCCACATCCTTACTGAAGGCTCATCAACACAATTACTGACTGGATGAAAAGATACCTGTTAATGGGTAGGGAATTTGCATGGAGCTGGGATACCGCATCGATGCTTGTAGCAGAAATGCTTTGATGTCTAGAAGAGATAATTGGACAGTTTTGGATACATTATCTTGCCTGCATACACGCGTCCAACAGGGTTGTTTCATTCCCCACGCAGCTGAAGCCCAGCAGGTGGAAGCAATCCGAGTACTGAATGCGGTGTTGGATGTCAGAGAGCAGGCACCAAAGCAGCAACCTGTGGAGACTGCCAGAGTTCTGCATGCTCTTGCCATGCTTTATTTCCTGGTCAGGGATTTCTCAAAGGTAAGTGCCATCTGGTGAAAGGCTCCAGGAGGGTCTCCTGTCTGTACCAGTGCTTGCCCCATCCCGTGTTCACCTGGCACCTCTCCTGAGCCCACGACAGCCTTGGTCACCCTTGGGTGACTGAGGACAAAGCTGCCGCAGTAGCTCTGCATGAAGCCAGCTCACGATCGGCTGTTAAGGCTAAGGAAACCCCTTGGATCTGTTTCAGGCTCTGCCAAGCCACCTGCAATGGATTCCATAGCTACTCACATTCTCTGGGTCCGTCCTTTGCCTGGGCTATTCTGGCAGAGCAGCTGCCTGTCGCAGGCTGCACTTCGACGTCAGGTCAGGCCTTAGAGAGCGAGCAGGACGTGAGCCCTGCACGTGTCTCCTTGCACCAGATCCCTGTAATGGCCATTGTATTCACGTGGGTTCGCTCTGTTGGCCCTGAAATTCAGTTTTGAATTTGCAGCCCTGTATTTTATGGCTAAAAATTTCAGGTGTGACTGCTAACTCCAGAGTGCCCAGTTCTCTCTGTTAGAAATCGTTGGGTTTGAGGAAGTGCTGAGCCATAAGCACCTGGCAATCGGGCCTCTGCTTGGGCAGAGCTCTCCTCTGCCTGTGTTTGGGAGGGTGGAGACACAGATCACGAGCGGTCTCTTCGTTGTACCAGAGAAAGCCATGATGCGGGTCAGTGTTTGGAAGGCACAGAGAAATAACTTCAAATTAGAAAAAAGACACAGCTTTATAACTGGAGGAATGTCTAATCCCTGGAAGAGCTATCGAGGGAAATGAGGGATTTAGTTCAGGCAGAGTCAATGCAGTTATTTTTTTCCCTGAAATAGCGTTGGGAATGTTCAGCTGTGTTAGATGAGAGGTAAAGATCTCCAGCGGGGGGGCTGGGGTTAGTAATCTCCTCTGTCTGCACTGCTGGATCCTAAATATGATCTCTGTTGGCAGCTTTACTCTCTCCTGTAAAGCAGCTTGTGCAGGTCACCCTCGGCAGTGAGTGGCTGGAGCCTGGAGCTGCTCCAGCACAGCTCTTCCAGGGAGCCTCCGCAGGTATTTTAACTGCCCCTTGAGAAAATCCATGTTCCTGGCAATTACTTTGTCTTTCCTGCTCCATTCCAGGCCCGAGAGGTGGGGATGAAAGCCTTCAACCTGGTGAAACAGCTGCCCCAGCAGGAGTCTCTGGACGCCATTGATCGTTTGTTGAAGTTGATTAACTCCAAGCAGTAACTCTTCCTGCCGGGGCGAGGGGTTTGGCCAGTTATCTGTTGAACTGGGTGGCTGGAAACCAAAAGCATCACGAGCCGTGGGTCCTTTCTGCTGCTGTCACCTCTCCCGATGCGTCCCTTTCTGTCTCGAGGCGGTTGAAAATGAAACTTTGGGAGGTCATTTTCCCCTGCTGACCAGCCCCTGCAGACCGGCTCAGAATGAGGCTGTGGAAATGAGCACAGCCAGCACGCGGTGCAGAAATCGTCATCTGATGCTTTACGAATAAACAAACAGCCTCTTACCTCCTCACATTGTCCAGAAGCTAAGGCCAGCCGCCGTGTGCGTTACCCCACGCTGCCCTTCCGTTTGGCGAGGGACGTGGGAGGGAGGGACCCAGGGAAGGCCCTTGCTGTGCACCCATCTTGGGTATTGTCATCTGCTCCCCAGGGCCTTGGGCTTTGTCGGGCCTTGCACCCTTCTGCAGCGCCCCCACCCCCAAATCCACCTTCTCTCCTGCAGCGCTCCAGAGGAGTCGCGTAGCTCTGGGCACCGAGGGACTCGTTTGTTCCAATTATGGAAGAACTTGTATCCAGGAGGGACCCCGGGAACAGCATGAGGGAAAGTGGTTTGAGGGAGAGCATTCACAGGCCAGGGCTCCAGCCAGGGCTTCCAACCCAAAGGAGTCGTGGTTCCCTCCTGGCTGCGAGCTCACCGGCACGTAGCCATCCCGTTAACTCCACCGCCAACCTCGAGAGGAGAAGGTCCCTTGGGTCGCCAAATGCTTCTGCCCTCAGACCCCACCAAGCTCTTGCAGGCTTCGCTCCCAACAAGTGAAGAGGCTGGCGGGGCAGAGGGGGCGTTGTGTCACCCCCGGTGGGAATGAGAGGGGCACTGGAGAATCACAGAACGGCAGGGGTTGGAAGGGCCCTTCGGAGATCATCTAGTCCAGCCCCCCTGCCAAAGCAGGTTCACCCACACTTGACATCCGCCCTTGAGATACTGATAAGCACTGATAAGATCCCCTCCCACTCTTCTCTTCTCCAGCTAAACAGACCCAACCTTTCCCTGTGAGAGGTGCTCCATTCCTTTGAGCATCCTCCTAGCCCTCCTCTGGACTTGCTTGAG